CAGGGCTAGCAGAGTCTTTCATCAGAGATGATCCACTATTCCCCTGTTGGCATGAATCCAGCACTTAGCAGAAATGTTCTGAGAGCTTTTTCCAGGAAGACATAAATATGTTTTATGGCATAAGTCAAACTCCAGCATCTTCCATGGAATCAGGGAAAATTTCCACTCTCTGCTGCCACATTTCTTGTGCCTGCTGCAGAACAGTGGCAGTATCTGCTATCAGTGACAGGCCCTGAGCAGGCCCTGCATTTGCTGTGCAGCAGGCGAGATGCAAATCAGCTAAATGCCAGTGCTCAGCATCACCCTTCACACTGCAGCTCCAGCTGCTGCTCCAGAAAGGCATGAATTAGCGATAGGTGCTGTGGCAGAGCTGCCAGTCTGAGGAAGTCATGAAGAGCCAAGGGGCTCAGCCAGACACTGCCTCCTCATTGAGGATGCCAAATCCTGCTGCAGTTTGATTTCTCTGCTTGGTGAGACAGTGTGATTGCATTTCACAAAGACTAAAGAGTGAGGAAAAACAGACTTCATAAATCCTTTAAGAATCACAACTAGCTCCATGTTGTGTCAGGGGGACAGTTTCTCACTTCTTCTTTCCAGAGAGTACAATCATCGCCCACTAAAACTTCCAGCCAACCACAGTGTCAGCCACCTGCAAGCACTCCTCAGCAGCCCACACCGCAGCAGCAGCAGCAGCAGCAGCCCAGAGGCCTGAACCAACCTGTCAGAAAGGTAGCGTGCCGCCTGCTTGCTTTTTCCTTTTGTTTTCCTTTGCCTGCTGCAGGGTTTGTAGCACTGGGAGGGAACACATTCACCCACTCCTGGTCAGAGACCATCATCACAGCCAGCGAGGGCTCACAGCAGCTTCTGCCACAGTTGGGTGAAATACCAGCCAGTGTTTCTGCGGGAGTTTTCTACCAGTTAAAAACGATGAGAGGTCAGAGTGGGCAGCCTGGGCTTGCAATGGTGCTCACAATTCCTGAAGGATTGCTGCTGAAATGCAGAGGTGGTTGCTCTGCAGAGACCATACCTGTTCATTATGTCTTTGTGATGTGCAGTGCAGACTGGAGAAAGAGAGCACCTCTGGCATCACCCCTTCTCCAAATGACAGCTGTAAAGACATCCTGCTGTGCACCTCCTCCCTTGCTAGCCCACATCAGGGATGACTTAGCTCGCTCTCTACCATGTAATTACAAATCTACAAAGATTTTAGACTTTGGAGGATCATTTCTGAGTCAGGTCCTGAAAAGAATAAAAAGATAGGATTAATTTCTAGCATAGTCAGAGTGGGACACCCATTTTGCAAAGGCTCAGTGCCTTGGTTCATGTTGAGACCTTTGAGGAAATGTAGAAGGTAAATGAAGAAACCGATTTCCCTTAGAATGCCTTGGCTTGCATGCTGTGGAGGCATCTGGAGCAACTCCCCAAATCCTCTTGCCTCCCTGCAGGGTCAGAAGCCAGGCCTGCAGGTTGGCACAGGACACATTGTCTTTCTCAGCTCCTACAAAGCTGCAGCCTTTCTGCCTCGATGGCTTCCACAGAGGATCCCTGAAAACCTGTGCCCCTCTCAGGCAGACAGCGAACCCCAGAGCAGCTCAGCGGGCAGGCGCCTGGGGCTGCGTCTGTACACAGAAGCCACAGAGCAGACAGAGAGATTTCCAGGGAAAACAGGATGAGGTAGAGCATCAACACGTAAAAGGCTCAAACTGCCTGGGGATCACTGCTCTGGCAGAGCAAGTGTCAATGCGGTTCACTCGTAACCACTGCAGAGGCAAAGAGCCCATCCACACGGTAACATTTCTTTTGGGCAGCAGTGTGCTGATTCATCTGGTGAAGCTGAGTCACCAGCTCCGCTTCCTGCAACAACACTTGGGGTTTCCTTTGGAGACCTCTGGTACTGCTGAGTGCTCTGGTGATCATCACACCCTCAGGCTGTGGAATTTGCCGCTAATGAAACCTGCCTGTGTCCCCAAAGCAGGCGCTGGAGGGGAGGAGGGGAGCATAAAGGAGAGGGCCTGGCTTGGAGACTGAACAAAGCGAGGGAAGTGCCCTCTTCCAAAGTCCCAGGAGTTCCCCACTTGGACCGAAGAGGCTTTCCCCATCATGGAGCAGCCTGATGGCGGTTTGTGGTGTGGTTGTCTTCGCATAAAAAATATCAGCGAGAGATTTCCAGCTGAGTTGAGGGGAAGTCTGTGTCATCAGGGCATAGTGCACAGAGTGCACAGAAGCCAGGCTGCTGAGAGGAGCAGTGCCCAGGCAAGAGAAGGAGTGACAGTCACTAAAGAAACCATGAGCTTTTCCCTCATGATTCCTTATGTCTTTGCTCTGCACAGCCCTCATCCCAGCCCAGCTCTCCTGCTGCCCCCTCCCCTTCACAGATGGACCTGGAGCAACAGCAGCAGCAGCAGCAGAAGCAGCAGCATACGTCGCTTTTTGGACCTCCTCCACCACCTCTCCCTGTCCCCTCAGTCCCACTGAAAGAGCCACCGGGCTATGAAGAGGCCATGAAGCAGCAGCCAAAGACCCAGGTGAGAACAGGAGGAAAGGTGCTGCTGTAATTCCACTTAGATTCCTGACCTGGGCCACTGAAGCAGAACAGAGACAAACCAACCCCTTCTGAACCTTCCTATCTGAATTCCTTCTTGAAATTCCTTCTGGAGGGGCTGGGAAGGATCCCATGCCCAGGTAAAGATCCCAAACTGCTCAGGGCCCAGTGAGTGTTAGAGCAGTTGCTGACTGCACCTTTGCCTCCAGTAGCAGCCTGGGATCATGGAGGAGTCTGGTGCCATGCCTCTGTGTGCTGTCCCTGCAGTGGCAGCCCTGTTACGGGGATGAGGGAGGAGAGCCAGCAGCCAAGCGTCTTGCTGGAGGGAAGCTCCCCTGTAATAGGAGGCTAATCCTGTGCTTGCTCTCCCCAGGAGAATGGCTGTTCCAGCCAGCAGATGGATGACTTGTTTGACATTCTCATAGAAAGTGGAGGTAAGGAGACAAACCTGCATTTCTCAGCCAGTGGATTTGACCCGGGGATTATAGAGCACTGCAGGGAGCATGTGTCATGACCCAGGTCTTTGCTTCTGTGTCCCTAGCAGTCATTAAAGCACCAAGGGAGATGTCAGACAGGCATTAATAGGATTGAAAAGCTTCTTGGTTGCTGTGCTGCATCAGCTCTGGGCACATCTCTGCTCTGGGCCAATGCCTGGGTTCCCTGCGGGCAGAGCACAAACTCCCTTCAGAAAGCAGAATGCAGGTGTGGGCAGATTCCTTCTCTCTGTCTGTGCTCAGTGATGGTTCTGACCTGGGGGGAGGTCCAGGTTGCCATGCTGGGTGGGAGGGATCGCTGCGGTGCTTGGCCACGCGCTTCCTCACCTGGCTGGCGTGTTTGTTCCCTTGCAGAGATTTCTGCTGACTTCAAGGATCAGTCATCCCCAGCTGGAAAAGAACCACCTGCAGCCCCGGCCTGCTCCTCACCGCCCAGCAGCCACCATTCCTCAGAGCTGGCGGTGCCGGTGTCGCTGGGGCAGACGGTGCCCGTGGGGCGGCTGGAGGACTTCCTGGAGAGCAGCACCGGCCTCCCGCTGCTGACTGCAGGCCACGATGGGCCTGAGCCCCTGTCCTTGATCGATGACCTCCACAGTGAGATGCTGAGCAGCTCGGCCATCCTGGACCACCCGCCTTCACCCATGGACACCTCGGAATTGCACTTTGCTCACGAGCCGGCCGGGGGCATAGCCTTGGATCTGGCTGAGGCTAACTTGGACAGCATGGACTGGCTGGAGTTGCCAGGGGGATCTGTCATGAGCCTGGCCCCCCTCAGCACCACGGCTCCCAGCCTCTTTTCCACAGACTTCCTTGATGGACATGATCTGCAGCTGCACTGGGATTCGTGCTTGTAACTCTGTGAGCAGAGACTGAAGGGAATGGGTGCGGGAGGGCACGGGCATGCAGGGGGAAGAGGCCAGTCAACCAAAAGAAACCCCAGAAACAAAAGAAAGAAAAAAAAGGAGCTCCTAGTATCCATACTCCTCCCCCCACAGTGTTCCTCCTCTATGAAGCCAGCAGTGGCAGCAAAGGCAGACCCACGGCTTAAACCACTGCCAGCAGAGCAGTGGGGCCAGGAGAATGGCTGCAGCTCTCAGGCAAGAGCAGAGCTGGCAGCCCCGCTCCCTCCTGCAGGACTGGGCATAGAGCTGCAGATAATGAATGCTTCCTGCAGCAGGACAGGGTGTGACCGGACCCGAACCCTTCTGAAAGCAGCATCCCACTCCTTGCTGGCAGATATGGGGCATTACACAGCCCCAGCTGCCCCAATTAACGGTTGCAGAAGGGGATTATTCTACCTCTGGAGCAGAGCACAGAGGAGGGAGCTGCCAGGAGGGCTGCCTGCTGCCCCCGTGCCATCCATCAGGGGTCACCTCTGCCACAGGGCTGTAAGGAACAGGCAGAACAGGCACCTTTTCCAAATGTAGCCAAAGGAAACGGGAGTTTCCCACCAACCTGGTACTCTCTGAGCTGGTTTCTTAAGTCCTGCTGAGCTTGGCAAAGGCTGCCCACTTGCTTCACTTGCTTTGGGCTGCAAAAACAGACTTTTAAGGTGCTAAAATCCAGGTTAGATCGGTCCTTCACTGCCCCAGGTCTCCAGCTGTGCCTGGAGTCAGCCTGCAGGCACTCTCTGCTCACTGCCCCCAAGCTGAGCAGGGCATCAGCCCACTGTCCCAGGGAGTGCAGAGGGGCACAGCTGCCATCGAGTAACATATCATTAAGGGCCACGTGCAATCTTTTCCTGCCTTCAGCTGTGCTACTGCCTCCCTGCAGCAGGTGACCCAGGTGTAAAGAAGAGCTCCTCCCACCTCCAAAACTGCCCTCCAGCCCCAAGGAGAGAAGGATGTCAGCCCCAGCAGCAAGGAAAGGGAAGAGGCACTGCTGAGAGGGTTTGTGCTAGCTCAGGAGCGCAACTGTGGGGGGCCCTTTGTGAGGAGAACTGATGGGCTTCTGTCTCTGCTCTGCTGTGCCCACACCTCAGTGTTAAGAGGCAAACACAGCAATCAGCTGTGGCCTGGTACCTCCATTCTTGTACACTTGCAGCCCCACGGTACTCGCTGTCAGGAACTGACCTGGCAGCTGGTTGAGCTCACACCTGCAGTGTGTCTGGGAGAAAGTCCTGCCTTCCTGAGCCCGATCTGCTTGTCAGCTACATGGGGAACCACTTCCTTAATCATTTGCGGGGGATGCCTGCTGGCAGCTGCCTTTCTGCCCCCACTCCTTCTGTTGCCCAAGCCCCAGTCCCACCGTAAAAACCAGTAACTGGGACTGGTGGACAACCCCAGCCCCTTCCCTCCACTACTGCCTTCCTCACTTCTCATTTCTCAGGCTCAGCACGATTATGGTGGATGTGCATTGCGTGTACTGAGAAGCAGGAGCCTGGCACAGAGGAGCAGAGGCAGGAATTAGAAATCATGTTGCAGAGCTCTTGCAGCACAGGCTCTGACTCTTTGCTCTGAGATATGAGCAACGACAGTATTAGAGCCCCCCCCAGGACAGCTGACTGGCCATGGGACCACATGGCACAGGAGGCATACAGCATAGGAGAAAAGTGTGGCAGGGGAGCAGGGAGGGGGCAGGAAGATCTTTCCTCCATGAAGTTTTTTACATGTTAAGGAGGAAAAATGAGGCTGCCTTTTCCTCAAACTCGAGCAAAATCAGCTGCTTTTAGCCTGCAGAGAGCAGCAGCTTCCCCAAAAAGAAACACCTGTGTGATTTCTTTTGTACAAATAATCACAAAGTGGCAACCAGCAAATAAAGAATGAAAGTATCCAAGTGCAATTTGCTCCTATGGAAGCTGGGAGCACTCCACCTGCACCCCAGGCCTGACTCAGCCATGGATCTTTGTGCTGGGCCAGGGCCCCCAGCCCTTGCTGGCAGTTTCACCCTTCCCCTGGGTGGGTGGCAAAAGGCTCAGTTCCTATGCACTGCTGTTTGCCTTTGCTCACCCACCTGCCCTTACAAAAGCTGTAGGAATATGTTACATTGGCCCAATGTACTTGAAACCAGCTGAGGAACGCAGCAAGCCTGCCAGGGCCCTCTGCACAAAGGGCTTCTGCCAGCACAGCAGCGATAACCTGGTGGCTAAGGGCAGTGGGAATGGGGTGTCTCATCCCAGAAAATAATAATAGAGGTCTTTTCCCCAAGATGTGCCCAGAGCAGGCTAGCCCAGTTCTCTGCTTTCTTACTATTATTTGTTTGAATAATAGTTCAATAGTTCTTTGTTGGAAGAGGTATTCCCCTGGACATACATTTCTGCACCCATTGGGAAAAACAAAAAGTCTGATGTTCTGCCTCTACCTTGAATGTAATCCTGAATCTTTCTGCTGTAACCACTACTTGTTTGTAACGTGTATTTGACTAGCACGAACTCTCCCTTCCACTATGCAGCAAAAGGCGAGGGGTGATCGGCACCGTCTGGGATGGATGGTGTTGGGGTGTCGGATCCAGAGCGAGTATTCAACTGGAAAAGGATAAGAGTGACAAGTTAATGGGGGAGAGAATGGATCTTTAAATTGAATTATTTTTTCAGTTACAAATATTTGAAAGAAAAAAAAAAAAACATTTTATTAAAAAAATTCCAAACAGCCACGTGCTCAGAAGCTTCTCTGTAGTGCCGGTGGGAGGGCCTGACACCGCTGCCTTTTCCAGCTGAGGGTGGCTGAGTTCTCCGGGTCCTTCCAAAATCTGAAGAGCCACCAAAGCCATAATCCAGAACTGGCCTTAGGAGGAACACAAGTAACTCCTTCCAGCCTCCTCACAGCACTGTGGGCTGCCCTGGACCCTGCTGCTAGAGGTGAGGCTGCAGGGCTTGAGTGAGTGGCAGGGCTGCCCCTTCCCCCAGCTCAGCTGCTCAGGGCCCCATCCAACCTAGCCTCGAGTGCTTCCAGGGTTGGGGCACCCATGGTTTTGTGGGCAATCTGCTCAACAAGGAATTTAGTTAGCCCCGGTCCCACGGAAAAACAAAGCCAAAGTCCAGTGCTCTCCCAAGATGCAGTTTATTTACAAACCCACAGAATAAAGTAAAGTAAGAATCTAGTGTCATCTCATGAGTAGTTTGTGCTCACTGACAAGCGCTTTCACTAGAAAGTCACAGACTCCATATCCAGAGCCACCACCACAAAGCAGCAATTCTCCACTCCCGACTGGCGTCCCTGCCCCCGCCGCAGGGCGAGGAGGACCAGTCGGTCTCCCTGAGCCGGCTCCAACCTGAACCCCATCCTGAGCTACGACAGTGCCAAAATATACACACGTTCCCGGAGTTAATTTACAGCTTTTTGGTTAACAGTAAAAATCACGTAGAGACTAAAATGATAGCATGAAACACTCGTCTTAGGGGAGTGTTGGTTTTCGTCTGCTCCCACAGGAGACAAAGCCCGTCCCCTGGGGCTGTTAGAGCAGTAACAGGCCGGTGCTCTCGGCACCTCTTGTCGACATCCCACACACCAGTGCCAGAGAAGCGGGATGAGGCTGATACCAGTTCCCCCTTCTCTGCCCTGGCTCCAGGTCAGGCGAACCCATTCAAGTGCTTCAGGTTCTGCCCTCCCTCTCCCCTCGGAGGTGAGCTCTTGGATGGCACGAGGTGGGGTGCGTGCCATCCCTGCTCCACACAGCATTAAGTCCCTCACCAGCTCGATTCCACCTGCATCTGCAGTGCCACCCTTCACAGATCAAAGCCATCCCACAAGGAATGCCTCTGCCCCACAGCTACGGCAGCACTGGAAACACTGGCACACAGCGGCTGGGCCTGCAGCCCCTCTCCCCAGGGAAATGGGGGTGGCAGAAGTGGGGAAGGCTGGGAGGGGACACTCATTTTTCTGGTCAGAACACACGTGTGTCCCTGTGCAGCATCAGCATCGACCGTCACCTCCCTCGGGTCTGGCAGCAATGCCACAAGGCCACGCTGCATCGGTCCCAGGTAGCCTCGCAGCCCCCCGAGGGGGATTTTGTCACAGATACAAGCGTGGGGAGGGGAAGGAAGGGGATGTGAGATGATGGGACTTGGGGAGAGGAGTGCAGGCCACTGAGAAGGTTCCTGGGGCAAGGGGGGGGGTGGAGGTCACCCATCTATGTCCCAGCTGAAGAGGTGGTGTTTCACAAGCATGTCCTGCACGCCTTCCTTCAGTGGCTTCTTCTCCTTCTCCTGCAGGGAGGCACAGAGACCTGGGTCAGTGCACCGCATCCAGACAAGCAGGGCCCAGGCAGCCAAGGCACCCAGCATCCAGCAGAGCTGCCTGCACCTCCCACCACCCCAGCTGAAGCAGGGAGAGGCCCTGCGGTTTGGAGAGCAGGGAGGAAGGGAGGGGCTGCCACTTCCCTCTGCCCCAGCTGTGTGGGCAGTGCCCTGTCACCTGCTCCTGGGCATCACCAAAGAAAGCAGCTCCATCCACAGCTGGTTCCAGGATGGGCTGGAGTACCAGATAGTGAGGAGAGGCGCTAAGCGAAGCCCCCTGCTCAGAAGAGGAGCAATGCTGCCTACTCACCTCCCTCTTTATTGGCAGCTCCCAGTCCTGAGACAGGCTGAAGGCAAATTTGCAGAGCACTCTGAAATGGAAGAGAACTGTAGTAATGCACACACCCAGAGCTGCTGCTGCCCCAGCTACGCAATTGCTCCTCAGCTTGCCCTGGAAAATCACTCACTTTTATAGGGGTGGAGAGCCTTTTTGTTGGCACCAAAAAAGCAGCACCAGCCATTTGTGGCCAGTTTCCTCCTGCATGTTGGGCTTTGCATCTTGCCAGGCCCAGGCTGGGAAGAGAAGCTTAGAAATGTGACTCAAGTGCAACCTCTACAGAGCCTGACAACACAATGCAGGGAAGTGCAGGCAGCCCCAGGGCTCTGCTATGTTGAAGACACATGTGGGGAGTTTGTGGATTTCTCTCCAAAAAGCTGACTGCTATCAGCAGCACCTCCGAGATTTTACACTTGCTGTTTTCTCCCTGAAGAGGAGCGTCCTGACCCCTATGGATATGTGCTGCATGGGGATGGACTCAGCTAGAAGCAGGGACTGCAGAAGGGCTCCCTGAAGACAGAGATGCAGAGTTCAGCTGCCAAACTTGCCAGTGTCCTCCAGGCTCAGGAGAATATCTGACAAGAATATTCTTCAACTCCTGCAGCTGTAGGGTGGCCAAGATCCTTCAGAGGGTGAAGGCATGAAGGAGAATGGTAGAAAGCTCAGCTCTCGCTCCTAATGAGCCCCAACTCAGCCAAGAACCAGTTTCTCTGCTGCAAGCAGCCTCAGGCTCAGTGCAGCACAGAGGTGGAGGGAACTCCTACCCACAGCAGCACCAGGAGCAGGGCACCTTTAAGTGTGGGCTGCACACGGGTCTGCTCCCTACTATAGATGCTCCTGCTGGGAACCACTGTGACTGGCAGAGGGTCTGGAGGGCAAGGTAGACAAGGTGCGGGGCTGACCTGCTGCTTTTGGCTGGCCCAGGGGAGGCTGCTGACAGGAAGGTCCTGCATGCTTGTCATGACAGCTTCCCAAAAGCCAGGTTCTGACCTTAATCAAGCAGGCACTGTGCATTCCATTAAACTGTCTAGACGGTCACTGCTGCCTCAGCACACAGAATGAGATCTCTGCAGGGGGGTATGTCTGGACAACCGAAGCTACCACTGTCTGGTGAGGGCTCAAACCCAGCTGCAGTGAGGACCACCTCCATACAGGGCAAGAGGAAATCCATGCAAGAGCCACAGGGACAGACTTACCTCAGCTCACACTTGATCTGGACCCATCCAGGGCTGCGCAGGAACGACCAGGGATGAAACCATTTCTCCACGGTCTGCAGGCTTGAACACAGCACCTCCAGCCACAAATGTAGCACTTGTTCACTGCAGTGATGAGGCAGAGGTTTGTTACTGGGATGAAGCCAGGGAAAGAAGCTTTGTCCCTTTGGGACAGTCTAATTTCAGCCCCAGCAGGAGGGGGATGCCCCAGGTAAATCTATGGGGGTCACCATGACAAGAAGACAGGAGCAAGAAAGGAGCAGATCCCACTCAGTGGGTGAAATGAGAGGGGAAGAAGACCACACAGCCTAAGGTAGATGGAAGCAACTGCTGCCCATGGGCCTGTTCGGCTCCCTCCCGAGCACCAAGTACCCACAGTGTGAGGGTGACAGGTGTGAGTGACTCACTTGAGCCCAACGCAGATGAGGGAACGGAGTTTCACATCCATCTGTGCATGTGCAGCATCGTGCGTCATGTTCACAGCCTGAACTGCCTGGAGGGCAGGAAGATGTGGTTACCACCTGCTCACAGCTTCACCTTAAGCTGGGCTGAGCAGCCATTTCAGCTGTGCAGCTAAGTGCTACCCTCCCAAGAGCTCCCCACCATCAGCCAGCACCACCTGCTAGCATTAGAGGAGCTGAGGCTGCCTGACAGTTCCATTTTCTGCCTTTCCCCAGGCACCTGGTGTCTTCACGCCACCAAGGAAATCAAGCATCTCTATGGAGAAGGGCATCACCCTCCAACAGCTCTCATGGTAAACATCCCTATGGTACCAGCTGGGCTCTGCCTGGGTTGGGGCAGCACTCACCCGATAAAGCAGCTCCTCTGGAGTGAGGACTTTGCCATCTTCATCCAGCCTGAAAAGATTACAGAAAAAAAGCTAGCTAGCTCAGGAACCACCCCTGGGCACATGTAGGTCACTCCAAACCCCAGTAGTGACAGCTCCCTTGCTTGTGCTGAGCCCACAGGTGATCATGCAGCTGTGAGAGAGCAAAATATGACCCCAGATGGAGGAACCCAAGAAAGAGGGCAAAAGTCAGCCCAAGTCAGCAAAGGCATGGCAGCCTGCTGACACCACACGCATGGAGGCTGGGGCAGACCATGACCTTTCCAATGCTGGTAAGCAGCAGCAGTTTGGCAGGCAGACAGGAGCAGGGCACAGACAACTGCTGCTTGCTGTGAAAGAAGTGGCCTTACCTGTAAGTCTTGCAGAGCACGAGGCGAGAATACACAGAGTCAAAGTCCCGTTCCACTTCCCTGCTTGCAGCCTAGAAGGGCGTAGGAACAGTCAGTACACACTGCCCTACTGCCCCTTCTCCCCATCCCTCTGACAGCACTGTTCCATAAAAGGAACTGAGACATCTCACCTCTTCAATGAAAAGCCAAGGATGGCAGGCACCCCCCAGCAGCGATGGCTTCTTCAATCCATGCTCAAATATGGACTTCAAGGCAGGACAAAGTGTCCCTCGCACCAAGTCTGTCACCCCTTCTGTGACCGAGTCATCTCCAGCAATGGAGTACTGATGAACACAAAGCATCAGCTCTCAACAGACTGCTACTGGGGCAGCTCACAGCTAACTCCAGTCCTCCACTCCCAGGTGCACCCCAACCATTTTCTCAGCCTCTTATGTTCCTGCTGGCTCTTGCATAAGGTGCCAGTGTTGGTCCCCTGGGATGTGCTGGGACACCAGCACCTTCATGCCTAGGTGTTGGACACGACACTGGTGACACCAGCACCATCCTGACAGCATTCAGCATGGAGGAACTGTTGCAGTTTGGTGTGATGCTGTCCAAGCTAAGGTGAGGTCGGGACAAGCAGTGAGGGCTCCTGGGACTCTGTCAGCTGCTAAAGGCCAGGATAAATAGGGGTATGTGAGAATTCCCAGGTCAGCTGGTGTATCACTCAAAGGTATCACAGTAACATGCCAAGATTAGAATAAATGGGATCCTTCACATTTCCTCATCTGGGAGAAGAGCTGTTCAGCAGCACAGTTTATACACAGAGAGATACATGACATATATTTATGGAACCAGCCCAGAGAAGGGGAGCGAAAGAAGCAAGTGAGATGTCAATGATGACATCTAACTAAGGGCTTCACTTGGGGTCTCAGGTTGGCCTTTGAGCCATTCCTCACTCTCCAAATGGTGAGGAGGAGAAGGAGGACAGACTTTTCTCCACTTCTGCAAATTGCCAACAGCTGATGATATTTATTTATGACATCTCACTGCTGCCAGTCACAAGAGGAACCAAGAGATCGCTCCCTTGGGCACAGCTACTCGGACCATACCCTGTGGTGACCACAGAGCACCAGCAGGACTTGCAGGGATAGCCTCAGAGGAAGAAGAGAATACAGGCAGTGGGAAGCAGGCAGAAACACTGACCACAGGATCCTGCTGTGTGCTTGCCTTTTGCTTTCTCTGCTTTCCCAAAGCTGATCTCTGAGGGCCCTACTAGCCCATGCACTGCACTCAGCTCCCCCTGCAGCCTGTGCTGTCTTGCATGGCCAGCATCAGGAAACTGAGCAAACAGGCGTAGGAAAATAAGCTGATAACATCACCAAGCTGCTCAGTAGCCAGAGAGAGCAAACATACTCAAAGAGGATAATACATGGCTCTTTTCAATTATGACATTACCTTTTTTAATAATTTTTTTTAAATTACCTCTTTGCTCCTCTCATCCAAGATCTCCACAAATTTTGCAGGAAACCAACCTAGGAAGACAAAGACATAAGCCTACCACAGACACTGAGAATTCCCTGTGTAAGGGAGATGAGAGCCCAGTGAAGGCTGGGAATAAATCAGAGTTCATGAAGTCCAACCCCAAAAAGGAAGCGAGCAGCCAGAAAATCACCAGGATTAAGGCAACTGCAAGAAGAATTCCATTGCTGGACGCTGCCCACAAACAGCAGAGATGATGTCCACCCAACCACACTGTGACAGGAGGATGCAGCCTAACCTTGCTGTTTGCAAAAAGCAACCACGTAGCTGCAACCACCACCCTTGTACCCTGCTGGAATATTCCCCTGGTCCCTGGCAGCTCCTCTGAGTGACTGGCAGTGCTTTTTATTAAAATATGCCAGCACAGTTGTGGATGAATGCATGCTTTGCATCCCACCCTGTTCCTCCCAGTATAAGCTGTCCTGCTCTCTCACCTCGCAGTCCATTCAGCTCTCCAACCCAACAGTGCTCATCCTTTTGGGAAATGATCTGAAAAAACAGGGAGTGGAAAACAGCAATTGAAGAGAGTGTCAGTGACTTAAAGAAATCTGTCCCCACAAGAGCACGTGCAGTGCCAGGAGGGTTACAGCTGCCTGACTGTATGTGCATAATGATGAACTGCTTTCTTTTTAGCTCTTTTTTTGTCAGTGCTCCCTTCTCACATGGTTCTGAGCCTCCAACAGCAAAAAGCTACTGGAAACACAATTCCATGCCTCTTTTTCTAAGTTCCAGATGGGATGCCCGCAACTAAAAGACAGAATGGATGCTTTTAGTCTTACCACAACCTGGTGCGTGGTGTTGAACTGGAGCACAGATTGGACTAAATCTAGCTTTGGCTCAGCTGTGTGGCAGCCAGGAAAAGGCCTCTGCATTTGCATTGAGACAAGACAACACTCAGAGAAACACACTGCCTCATCTCCAGACAGCTGCTTCCCTTGGACTCCTAACTGGGCTCGGAGCTCATCTCCTGCCTTGTTTCCCCACACAAGAGGCAGTGTAGAATCCCAAACAAGTTTGGACTGTATGATTGTGCCCCGGTGCCTCTCCCCTAGGCTGGCATACCGTAATGATGTCGTTCTTGCGGAAGCCCAGCTCGTCGTCATCGTGACGCTCGAAGTCCAGCAGTGCCTTGGCACGGCGCCGTCGGTTGCGGGAACAGGCCACGTAGTTCTCATGGTCCCGCTGGTGGCTCTCCATACTGTAGTCTGGAGTCAGATCCTGGCAAGCACATGGACACAGAGCAGAGGAATGAAAAACAACAGATGATGAGGGTTGGAATAGATGAGCTTTAAAGGTCTGTTCCAATTCAAACGAGCCCACGAATCTATGCCCAGCTCATCTACCAAAGCCTTTGACCCTTGTTCCCAAACTCTTCACAGGAAGACAATTTCCCAGCACTACAGAAGGGCTGAGCAACCCTCACCTCCACCTGTTACACGTGACGCATTCTCCCTCAAGCCCACCCGCTCCAGGAGCACCCAGCAGCTCCCACTCACAATGCTGCAGTTCTTGGGATCCACGCACTGGAAGTGCCGTGCCACCTGGAGAATGGCCTCGCGAAGGTCGGCCACCAGCTCTGTCTGCTTGATGTTCTTGGCTTTCAATGCCTCCAAGTCTTCATCTCCTGGTGGAGCCCACACAGCCAGAGGGAAGATGTAGAAGGGAAAACAAGTATGAGATATTTTTTATTAATATTAGAAATCATTAGTTCTACAGAAATCAAACAAGCCTGACTTAGAATTGCCTACACTAAGGCAGGTGCTTATTGCCAATCTATTCAGTAGTGTACATAAAAAGTAGAAACAAGACTGTTTCAAGTTTTATTTCCAAGCACATATGGAACTGAAGGATGTCAACTCTGATCCTTCTGGGCAACTCATCATGCCACGGTGCTGCTCTACTGTTTCAGAGCAGTGCCTGCACAGTATACAGAAGCAGCTGAATGGCTTGACTCAAACCTAAGAAACTTCCAGAAATTGTCATGAACTGAAATTCTCTTTAAATTGAAACAGCTTTCAACTACTTATAATTTTTGTCTACAGGATGAGAGCATCTTCTTCACTGAAACTTAAGAAAGAAGTGAAAAACCAAGACAGCTCTTGTGTCAGTCTAAAAGTGAGAGCCACAAGAGACAAGCCTCCATCTGAAACCTTAGTCTCTCTAACAGACAAATTTCAAACGTTTTGGGCATATACAAAGGGTCATAAGTACAAGACAAAAGTTACCAAAGCATCTTCCAACTTTCACTAATTCCCACAGGAGCAGTAACAGCTAGTATCTACTTATTTATACAAGACAAAGATACCTACTGATATTGATTCTTTAGACAGTTAACATATCCAGAGTCTTTATTGGGTACGTGAAGTTTGGGCATAATGAACCACTTGCTCCTTTTTTTCTGAAGGAAAGGATCCAGCTTTTGTTTTTAATTCAAAGTGCACTTTAGCTTTCTATAATACCTACTTTAGCTTTCTATAATATCCTGAAAAAGTGGTAGTTTGATTAACAAAAGCGGCATTTAAAACGATGTGTTCTTCCATTAACTCCAACTTTTATATAAATGGCATTTTTACACATCTCTAGTAAACTAGTGGCTAACAAACTACTACACTGCTTGCCTTCTAACAGCACTGCAGAAAGTAGAATGCACAGAATGAGCAATAGAGCTGTGTATGCATGAAGAGTAGCTCCTGCTTTATGAAGAGTGATAAACTGTATCTTTTAATCTCAAGTGATACTAATTAAAAAGACCAAAACTTTAGGAACGTAACTGGAAGCACAGGATTAGATTTTAAATGATTTTTAATTGTTTTCTATTAGTTATATATATTACAAGAATCAGATTTAGATACACAGAACATAAGAAAAAAACGGAACCTTGTTTCCGGACTAGAAATAGGGTAAGACACACTAAGTCCCAGTCCAAGCAATGAAAATTAACCAAAACCTCCCTGTAAGTGGCCACAGATTCAAAGAGATAGACTGGAAACAGATCGCTCAGAGGGCGGAAGATTAACGTTGCTAAAACAGAAGGTGACTAAAGAAGAAACTGCTCAACCACATCCACGCTGGCTCAGTGGGCTGCCCTCATTTACAGATACTGCTATTTCATCATTTAGTCCCTTCTGGCCAAAATACCATGCTCCTCCCTCCACATCCAGATGAATCCCACCCAAACATGAGCAGGAGAGACGGGAAGAAAGTTTTATACCTTTACCCCTTCAAATATACATAACACAAAAGAAAGTGGCTGGGGTTACCAGCAGATACACCTCACTGCACCTGACATGCCTGCACATATGTTTCAAAAGCAGGAAATGAGTACAAAATCAGCTACGTGTGAGAGGGTTCTATTTTGAGCCTGCAAAGCCTGATGAGCTGCGTAGTTGTGCAGAGGAGGGCTAACTCTCATGCATCACCTTATTGCAGTGCCCATCCAAAAGGCAAAGGGGAGGGAGAATGGCTGTTTATGAGGGTGGAGAGTGATAGGACAAGGGGGAATGGCTTTAACTGAGACAGGGGAGGTTCAGGTTAGATATTAGGAGGAAGTTTTTCCACTCAGAGGGTGGTGAAGCACTGGAACAGGTTGCCCAAGGAGGCTGTGGATGCCCCATCCCTGGAGGCATTCAAGGCCAGGCTGGATGTGGCTCTGGGCTGCTCAAAAGCTGCTCAAACTTAGTCAAGGGGAGACTGAGACACAAGGAAGATGTGCTTGGCAGCTAAGCTCCCTACAGATCCAGTCTGTACTGCCTGCATGATAGCATTACATGTAAGAGCTATGAGAACCTAGGTTGAACAAGCAACCTGCCTGCATTTCTTCACTTGTTAACAGCTTCATTGGCCTTGTACTACCATGTTTATATATAATGCTGTACATGCATCTAAGCAAGCCTCTGATGGCACATGAGGTACTCAGAGAACATCAGAAAAGCTCTTCTCTGAAAAGACCAGCAGAACACAGTTTTAGATTTTTTTCAGGCTACTACAACAACAGGAGATTTTTTTAAAACCCTGTAAATTTGTTACATTCTCTTTCCCCAGAAAAACAATTTCTGTGGTGAGATGAAGCAATTTCAAGGCAGCTAACCAGTTGCAAGGAAGATGATGACAGAGAGATTTTCAACAGAAAGGGCTATTATGAAGCCACAGAATTACGTTATTTTAAATCTATGCTGGCTGTGCGCTTTTTGGACATTGGCAGGGTTAGCTCATAAGCAATGAGAATTAGAATAAAAAACGTCCACACTATGAAGTTCTCAGAGTAGGCATAGAAACATCAGTGCATGGAGCATCAGTGATATTTGCGATTATAAATTCAGACTTATGAATCTAGATGAGTTATACATCAAGCCATCCTGCCTGGTCTGGGATCTTCAGGGAAGTACAGCACACAGCCCATGGACTGCATACAGTCTAGTAGAAAATATGTTCAAATGTCTGGCCAGTGCAAGGAGCTCATCCATGGTAAGTCACCAATTAATCATCTGTGGATTTATCAATCAGGACAGAGTCAGCAGCATTTCGTTAGCACAGGCCTTCCCTTCTACTAACTAATCCAAAATGCGCCTTCTAAGATCACCCCAAAGCAAGCAAATAGAAAGCTACACTTCTTCCAGCTCATCCTTCAGTGGTGGCTCCCTTCTCTTCTTTTCCTCTGTCCCAGTGTTCCCCTGCATTGCTCCCACCCCTCATGGCTGCTCAATCCATCAACACCACATGAAAAGTACAGGACTGTCCTTACCAAAAAGCAGAGAGGTGATGCCAGATTTCCTGCGCTGAGTCCTGCGCCGCACGATCTGAGAAGGGAAAGGAGAGAACAAAGTGCACAAACTTTTGTAAGTTTAGTAAATAAAATAATCCTCCACACTGGTCAGATCTGAGCAAGGAGTTCTGATAGGGATTTTTTCAATCAGACGGTGGTGAAGCACTGGAACAGGTTGCCCACGGAGGCTGTGGATGCTCCATTCCTGGAAGCATTCAAGGCCAGGCTGGATGTGGCTCTGGGCAGCCTGGTCTGGTGGTTGGCGACCCTGCACATAGCAGGGGGATTGAAACTAGATGATCATTGTGGTCCTTTTCAACCCAGGCCATTCTGTGATTCTCTGATAGCTAAGGCAGGCAAGTGACTTTGCAGTTTTAGACAGGAGTTGTTCTAGTTCCAATGCAATGAATCAGCTCTATTGCTTGTTCTGCTCTGTGTGCAGTGGGTTATTTATAGCTCAATTACGACAAAAGCATACGTGAAGTTCAATAATCAACTATGATTCAATTGAATAATTTCAGTTTTAATTTTACCTGTCGCCAGAAGCACTTCCACACATAATTATATTCAAATTTCTAAGTGGCTGCTTATTACATTTTAGGATTGCAGGAGTGCCTGGTGATAAGCACAAAGATGAGTGTCAAGAAGATATGTTTTATGCAGGCTCGACAAACAGGAGGTACTGCATCTGCAACTGCAGACTGTGATCTATGACTAAATACAGATGCATTTCTTATTCAGCTTCTCAAAGGCCACTGCACTCTACTTTCCGGAATTATTTCAGCACGTCAGTTTCTTACTAATGGATGAATCCTAGGTCCCACTCTGCTGTATGCTTACGTTAGTTCCAAGCAAATTCAGCCAAAAGTGAATGCTGTTTCTTTTATTATTTCTCATTAATGAAATGTAACCCTTTCCATCATTACTCTCATTAATGATAATCACAACTGACATCAACATTCCTTTCATCTGTGGATTTATCAATCAGGACAGTCAGCACCATTTCGTTAGCACAGGCCTTCCCTTCTCTTGCCAACACCTTTTCTCTGGGTGACAGAGCCAACATCCTCTCAGACGGGAGGACCTCTTGCCCGCAAACAGCAGTTGGTTGAAATACAAAGGAATGGTAGAAACAGAGCGGCGGAGGCAGGCGGAATTCAGAGCACTCACTTTGGATAAATTGTTGACAGTGGTGCTGGAGTTGAGCAGCTGTCCCTGGTCAGCAATGAGGTAGGCCAAGTGTTTGCGACGCTGGGTCTCCACCGCCACATCTGTCAGCGAGCCGGCCACGCGCATGGCCTCCCGCAGCAGCACATCTGCATCTTCTATCTGACTTGGGATGTCCGAGAGCGTGTTGAAGATTGAGGCAGAGTTCTCAGACTGGATTAGCTCATCCTCCTGCAAAGACGCAGTTGTTTTTCCACACAGAACAATGAGCATGACAGTTATGCTCCTGAAACTGCTAGATTCAACTCTACATTCAGTGTACAGCCCAGGCCAGAAACAATGCAGGTACAGCTATGAAATTACATTAAAAACTTTGGTAGAAAAAAAACGCAGGCTAGCTCTGGGAATAGAACATCAATTTTTAACTTCTCTGCTGCACTGAAATCTGCACCCAAAACTCCACATGGCAAGTTTTTGAGTCATAGAGATGGTGCAAAACAAAGAGACATTTTGATTTAAATAGGATGCATTCTCAGGTTGGGATCTAGAGTGAGCAGAGGGAGCAGCTGATGGGGCTGAATTATGAGAGATCAAATGAGGTAAGCAGGGAAAACAGCAATCCCCGAATCTGCAAAGCACCTTGGAAGTTTTCATGGCTCCCACTTCTGAGGAAAGCAAGGAGTCATCTTCCCTTTCACACTCCCAGACCACATACAGCAAGCTGATACAAAGCCTCATTGTATCTAAATCTTGCAGTTAAATACTGAAGTGCTATAAAGAAGGAAGTGGTGGTAGTGCTACCTTCATACTGAGCATGCCCAAAGTGAGCTGGAACAGCACCAGAGAGCCCTCATAGAAGAAGAGGTCCCAGATGCGCAGCAGCAGCTTGATGTGGACAACACTAGCGAAGGAGGTGAGGAACCAGTGCAAGGTGATCAGGGACAGCTCTGTGAATAGAGACATACAAAGGAATCACGATGGAATGTCAGCTAACCAGCGGAGACAGACTCTCCTAAGTGCTGCCCTGCCAGCTTACAGATGACCATGCACTGCCCTGGCCTCCAGAACCAGAAGGTTTGCTCCTAGCTCTGCTGCTCTTCCTTTGTGAAACAAGGGCAGTTATCTCTGCCTGCACACCACCCAGAGGAGCCATGGGCACACTTTTACCGATGTCATGCTCCTGGAGCAGCTTGTCCAGACGGGGTAGGTACTGTACAATGAGCTGTCGCAGGACACGCTGGTCTGTCTGCACTCCCATCAGGGTGGTACTGAAGTAGGAGGCGGGAACCAGTTCCTCAATGATAGCACACATCATCCAGAAGGCATCTTCCTCCTCCAAGAAGAGCAGCAGAGAGGCAGCCACCTGGGATTTTGAAGGAACATTATATGCCAAGCATATCCTAACAGCAGCACTCCTTCCCCACCTCCTCCATGGTCCACTGTTACAAGACCAATGTCTTCCTTCCTCTCCAGCAGCTCTCTTACAGTCTCTCCCAGGGAAGGGATTTCTGTGCAGTGTAACACCAGTTCCTCCCCCACAGAGGGACCAAATTATTGCACACCTTTGGACATGCGGTGTTACTCTGCTCCACCCTCCTCAAGCAATCTGTGCTGTGTGAAAGGGATTTCCCTTCACCTAGTCTGGAAGTCATAGCATCTGGCAGCATAACCTCAAATCATTTACCCCAAAGTAGCTACAGAACAGTCCCTATCACAAAAGCACTATTAAAGCAGGTTACCATGCCAGTGCCTTGGCAGTATCCAATCTCCGGGTAGAGCCAGGCAAGTCCCCGTAGTATCCTGCGTAGCCGTGGCACCCCAATACTGTTCATGTTAGAGAAGCAGGCATTGCTGGGCATTGTGCGGAGCAGGTCTTTCTCAATCTGTCAGACAGCCAGAAGCAAGGAAAGGGTCAGCTAGCAGCATCTGAACAATTGCCTTCTGCTCTCTGCACTTACCCACAGCTTCTTGCCTCAGTGAGCTCTGCTTCCCTACACCCAACTCCTTAGGCATCAAAGACGGTGGCGCTGTTCAAGCAGCTGGGGTTAATTTAATATCCTTCACTAACATGTAAAAACCAGTCAGATGGCAAGTTGGTGACTCCCTAGAAATACTTGCCTCCACTCAGCCTCTAGCTTCTCCACTTACAGTAAGCATGCTGGCTGGGAATTTCATCTGCTTGGATTTCAAGCAAGGATTCCCACCACGCTTATTCCAGAGAAACCAACAATGTGGCCACATCTGCAGTGGGGGACTTGGAGGTGAATGGCCCACAGCTCCCCCTGGGCAGAGTTGTCCTTCCTTCCGTTGCTACCTCAGTGGAAGTACACCTACTAGCCTTTCACCCTCTGCCTCACTCAGTATCAGGAACTTGCCCAGATGAAACTGCTGTGTGGTATTCTAGCCTGAAGGTAGCAGAGGTTAAACCTCTTCCCTAGGAAGTGGGGGATCTGCACAGCTTCTGCTCCAACAAAACAAAGCAGGTAAATGCCCACTAAAATGAACGTTTAGTAGGATTCAATTACGCATCCTTTCAACTGTCCCTGATGCAGGCGTCAGGCAGATGCCCCTTCCTCTTCATGCAGCAAATCTTGCTGTTCTCCCCACTCCCTTATGCCCAGTCAGCACTAGGCAGCATCTCTCACCTGTTTGGCAGCAATGGTTTCATCATTCGAGCTGTTTTTCACAATATCACGATATGACATCTCTGAATTTCTCTTCTTCTGCAAGGCCCCAGACAGACGCATCCACAGCTGTGGGGACAGAGTGAACAGCAATAAGAGTCACTAAGCCAGCCCCAGAAAACCATGTTTCCTGGCACCCTCTCAACCATGACAGGGTGGCCTCAATTCACTGTCTCTTCCCACAGGCAGGAAGATCAGCCCAGAGTTGGCAGAACTCTCACCTGTGGCCTCATGCTGTGTGGGATGCCAGCCAGCACCAGGGAGCGCAGTTTATCTGAATGTGGGAGGGTGACCTCAATTTTGTCCCAGGTGAGGTCACCCACGTCGTGGTTGTGTGTGAATTCCAGATGAGCCTGCCACTTGAGCCTCTGCTGTGGCTCCTCTGTCAGCGGGAGCCCCAGGAGTTTGCTGGAGTTTGGCTCAGCACCATCTGCCTCAGCAAAGGGAAGGGAATGAAATGGAGACAAGTGAGAGAGGGAACAAACATAGGGTGGGATGGGGAGTAGGACAGTCATCTGATTAAAGCACGTAAAAACTTTCAGGTCTTCCAGCCAGAGCATGGGAAGGCAAAGCTTGGTTTCTAACTGTCTTCTCCGTGCAGCAAATGTTGTGATCAGAAGCAAAAGGCACTGGAGCCTTAAGAACTGAGAAGCTGTCAGCAGGCCCAGGCTCTGCTTACACATGATTTACAGCAGAGTGTGGCTGGAATTCAACAAGACCCCGGCAGCAGCTATCCTGCTGGGTTTTGTGAGGATCTGTAAATCAAGCTGACAAAAGCATAGCAGGCCTCAGAGGTGACAAGCAGAAAGCTGTATGTTCATGCAAGTAATGAGGCACAAAATGTTAACTCCGGGGCTACCTATTCATTAAAAAAAAATCTTTAATAAGAACACTGCCAAATTCACAATGAGAGAGTACCTTAACCTAAGGCTAGCTTTCTAAAATAGATACATTAGGACAATATAGGTTTGACAAAAGGCACTCCGTTCTTCACCACATAGCAGATTTTCAGCAACACCATCCAAGTCTTTCTGCTGGCTTTATAATGCACAAGTCTATCAAATGATTTGGCTGAATGAAATCGGTCTCTTTGTCCTGTCCTCATCTCTAGGTTACTGCTTCAAGAAAGTCCTCTAGGACTGTAGAGCCTTAGGGCACCACAGGCAAAAAAGTTCTGCCCCCCCATTGTGTGGCCTGAGACCCGGAAATCTACTCTCAGAGCACATAAAGCAGTTCCCACCATCCAACAGTCCTTTCTCTTCATCTTTACAAAGGCAGCAAGCTGTGCCGTTCAATGCCCAACTGCCATAGCTCTCTTCTGTTTGGCCTCCTGCCTCTGGATCTTGCAGAAAAAACTAGGATGTGGGTTCTGCCCCTTCAGATTGCTCTACTCTTTGCCAAGATGCTGAGATGTGTAGAACACACTGCTGCCACTCGCCTGAGAGCTTTCCACTGGCAGCATGTGGCACTGTGCCCACCATTGGTGCTCAGTGCTCCTGACCACAACAGAAAGCCTGCTGTGAGCCAGCAGAGCTGCCCTTTTCAACACACCATTAATAGAAATGCAGCTTCCTCTTCACTTCCATCTCTCCCTCACCTACACCACAGACATAAGGGGATGGAAAGGACTCTGCTGCGTATTTGGTGTTCCAGATTCCACAAGGCCAGCTCAACTAATGCATGGCCCTTAGTAACAATGGTAGTATATGGAAAGAAGCTGACATCTGAATAGATGAAACCTAGCACACAGTGGTTGCAAAAATCACTCTGCTCAGGGCCCCATGCAGCACAAACTGAAAGGGAGAGAGATGGGACCGGTTTTACCTTCCTTATCAATTCGGAAACCAAATTCGTCATAGCGGAACTCTGGCTGCTCGATGGATTCTTCTTTCTGGGAGACATAAGGAAGGAGAAGAGACATTTTCACCACTCCAGCACTGAGCAACTGAACAGAGACAAGTGGATACTGCCCCATCCTACACCGCCTGCACTGTGCCCTCTGAGCAACTGCAGTCCTTCACCTTTATTTTTGATGCATTCCTTCACAATTCCCAGCGGGGGAGATGTTGCACGCTGCCCCCTTTTTGACTTCTCTGTAGAAGATGTGAAGCTCTGCTTTCCCACCTTCACAGATTTTCCCAGCAATCTCTTGGTACAACTACTTGAGTTGCAGCACCGTATCAAAACGAAGACTTCCCCATCTGAAAGGGCAGACAGTCCTCCTCATGGACCGAGGAATTCACACATCATCTACACTGGGCTCTACTGGCTGCAACTCTAAGACACAGCAGTCCTCTGTAACCTAGTGTGCACACATTGCAAATTCAGTTCCCTGCAGTACCCCACTTCCTGCCTGTTGCTTTCAGGTTTACTCTGAAAGAGCAGAAAAAACTGGGATTTGGATCTGTGAGACAAGCCCAGATTAGAGGCCAAAGGACATTCAGTTCAAATCTCAGCTTCTTCTATCTGTGTTCATAGTTAGCACTAGTGGTTATGATCATGAGGCTTTTGTAAGGAGTGAATACCTACAGATGCCTCTGATTCCTGCTGGTCCACCTGCCCCTCATGTGAGGTCTTGCAAGCATTGCACCCAGGCAGCCCCAAAGAAGCATAGCTCCAAAATAAGCTTCAGTCTCCTTCTCTGGGCTCAGTTGCCTTCAGCAAACACTGCGGGTTAGGTTACAAAATTCCATATCTGCTTCCTTCCTTCCTGTTCTGCCCACCTGGAGGCAAGCCTTGGGGCTAGCATTTCCTGCCATGCGCAAGCCGTCCAGGGTAGCTTGATGGTGACAGAGACTCCCTTGGAGTGTCAACATTTTTTACAGGGGCAATAGTTACAAAATAGCAGAGCAATAATTCACAGAAATTTCTGTATGCTCTGCAAGATCCTCTTGCAAGAGCCAGGATGCAGCCACAAAACAAATGAAGTTTAAATAGCAAACAAGCGCCCCCAAGCGAACCACTGGAGGAAGAGTGCACCCCCACCTCTTCCTTACAGCATTCAGAGACCACCTGAAATCACCAGGTTCTCTTTATTTCTGTGAAGAGCCAGAGAACATCCCCTCCCTGCCCAACACTGTACCTGTGTGTATTTTGCCAGGATCTCCTGCGGCCAAATGCTGGGTGTGAGTGCTGAGAAGGGACCCCCAGCAGAGGGAGTGTGATGGCCTAAACATAAAGAGAGCAACATACAGCAGTGAGAACCTGGGACACTCAGTACAGACTGCTCCAGCAAGGAAAGAATTTATGCAGAAGTCTCTACTCCAGACACTGGTATCTAGTCATTACTTCTAGACACTGTGACAGCTTCCACATCACCAAGGAGGTAAGTAATTTTAGAAAGTTCGAACCCTTATTACCAAGCAAAAGAAGTAGGATGGCCAAACTGAGTTCTAACAAAGGGACTTCGGGGGAACAGAAATCATTCTATAGCATCATGCGATCGCTCCTCTTGGAAAAGCTGTGCCAAGTGAAGGCAACCATTAAACAGATTTATGAAGTAAATGCCTCCTATAGAGGCACTGACATTGACTCAGCAGCACTCCAGACTGCCCTGAAACTGTGTCACCCAGGCAACAAAACAGGACATCAGAGCCCTCAGTAATATGTTCAGCTGCTCCCTTTGCTGCTGAAGGGCTGGGATGTTGCTGCCCTCCCTCCAAGGCTGCCAAGATCATGCACAGACAGCTGCAGCAACATACGTACGCCTATCACCTCTGTGTTCTGTGTGCAAAGCAAGCACCCTCCCAGAGGTACTGTCCCCCTTGCAATGAAAGTAGACATCGAGTTTTGCAATTGAAGCAGACAAGCACATCCCAAGTCTTCCATTGTACACATCACCACAAAGGTTTACTTGGCTCTGAAGTAGTCTCCCTTAGGGTTTTCCCTGAAATAAGCAGCTAGCTCGGGAAGGAAGGAGCAAAGACATGGGGTGGGACAGTTCCACTGCAAGAGGGATGTGCTGTAGGAGACCTAGTATTAGTTAAGCTTGTAACTCAGTAGCCCACAGCCAAACTCCAATAATTCTTCAGTCCTAGAACTACCACTTTAGAGAAGAAATCTCTCAGGTCATAAGCAAGCCACCTACTTTGGGGCAAGTCCTGGGAGAACAGAACAGAACAGGTCTTATGAGAAATGGGGAGGCAGACTTCATTTCATCCTCCTCCTTCCTCTGTAATTCAATAGCTGAAGCAGCTTCTGAAGGCTTCAGCACAGGGTAGAAGAAGGAACTGCACTCCCCTGAGCAAAAAGGCTGCTAGATCAGGAAGAGCTGGGCGCTCTCCCTCCCTCCATGTCAGGCAGAGCTGTATGTTAACATAGAGAATGGCTGTTGGAATCAGTAACTTTCTTTTACCATGCTGCAGATGAAGAAAGAGAAAGCCATCAAAGACGACATCACATCCATTTTTGCCTGCTCACCTGACATTGTGCTAGGTAAGGCTGAGCGGCAGAGGCTGTCAGCAGGTCCAGGAATGCTGTTCTCAGGGGTGAGAGGTCACTGTCCTGTGACAAACAGAAAAAGAAGAACATCAATTAACATCTGAGAGCACAGTGAGGGACAGACACACTCCCCTGGCACAAACTCCACACAGCAAACTCCAGAGACTGGAATTCCCTCTTGATTTCACACCTATCAGCTACAAAGAGCATGCTATCACCTACCAAATTCTCTGTGACACAGCAGCATTGCTGACTCAAAGAATGCCAAAAATCAAGTCAAATTCCATCATCTTTTCCATCACAGATTCTGAATCCTATTCAATTATGAACACTAAAAAAGCAGATGGCATGTCACCATTCCCCACAGTGAAGGGACCAGGGTGTTGAAGTGAGTTTGAGATGCAGGAAGCCCGAAAAAGATCTTGGGAGCATCAAAGCAAAACACAGGAGCACACTTATTTGGGAAAAAACCTAGGAGAAGCTAATGCTTGCATGCTTTGAATGGATTTTCCAGCTTCCTTTTTCAGTAAAGCCACTTCTGGCTGCAAACCACTGCAAGAAGGAATGTGAGGGATTCACCCAGCAGGCTTTGTCCGAGTTGTTTACAGTGCTCAGCAGTACAAGGTTATATACCTCCAGCAAGCACTTGTAGCCTACAAGTGCAAACAGGAGGGGGAATGGGTGTTTACGAGGGTGGATAGTGATAGGACAAGGGGAAATGGTTTTAAACTGAGACAGGGGAGGCATCCCCGGAGGCATTCAAGGCCAGGCTGGATGTGGCTCTGGGCAGCCTGGTCTGCCTGATTGGCAACCCTGCACATAGCAGGGAGGTTGAAACTAGATGATTGTTGTGGTCATTTTGAACCCAGGCCATTCTATGATTCTATGAAGTGACTTGCTATGGCGCTCCAAGATAAGCAGCTATAAAGGCACCTGCATCTGAGAACACAAATAAGGCTTCTTCCCCCCAGATTTAAGCATGAGAAAAGCTGGTATGATCAGCTAGATGCTGATCTTCCAACACCAACTCTTAGAGCAAAAAAGAAGCAAACAAACAAAAGAAACAACAAATCAAAGCAACCACAAGTCCACCTTTTGTTTCTGAGAAGCTGCCATGGCCACGCATGGCCAGATGCTTACCTGTGTATTCTGTCCTGCCCCTAACTGCTGCCTCTTAGTGCTGGGTTTTCCCTTGGTAGGTAAAGCCGTCCCAAGGATAGGAAAGGAGCACCCGTACCCTCACTTCACGTGGCAGCGTTCAGGATGTGTGCAGCAAGCAGGTAACTGCTGATGACACTCCTGCCAATGTATTTGGAAGCTTTTTTCTGGCTCCCCACTGCCCTGCCACCACTCTGGCACATGCAGTGCCTCAAGCCCCCAGGTCACCATTAACCTTCATGCATGTACAGTCAGTGCTGAACCAACCTGTCATGGAGGAGCCAGGCTGGCGTTAGGCACGTAGACAAGAGAACACCCACAGCCACTAAACGAAGCACGGTGCCCAGGAAGCAGGGGAGGAGTGCTGAGGTCCCTCCTCATCCAACAACAGGTGTAGCAGAGGGGAACACCTCCCCCTGCCCACGTCATCGCTCTCCTGCCGGCCCCGGATATGAGTGCAGGCTTTTCCTGCCTCTGGGGCCTGTGGAAACCTTCCTGAAAGCACCCAGCTGGGACCTGGTGCGACAATGCTGGCCAGGACAGAGGGATGTGACCCTACAGTAGCTCTTAGCTCTCCTAGCCAGCAGACAGCAAGCAACAAAAGGAGATCCTATGAAGCCAGTGAAAGCACATGCATGAAAACAAAGCACAGTACAGCTCCCAGTTCACTGGGGGACAGCCAGAAAGACAGTGTGTGTACCTGGAAAAGGTGCTGCAATGGAAGCTGCAGCTGTTTGAAGCGCTCCAGCTGCAACACCCCTGTCAGAGTCACAAATACACCACAAAGAAATATATCTGTTTACTTTCTTTTCCCTGCAAGTGTCCTTTAGAAATGGATGTTTGCAAAGGAGACCTGCAAATTTACCTCCACTTGACAGTACCAAGCCTCCTCTGGACAAACTTGCCCTTCCACACAGCTGCAATTCAAAAGATTTCAAATACCTGCCTTCCTGCAAACAGATAACAATCTCCTGCTGCCTATGTTTTACTCGCTTGGCTTCTTTTGCCATGTGATCTCCACTTAACCCTGTTGTGTAGTGCCTGGATGTGCTAGGCCATGAATCACAGAACCATTAAAGCTGGAAAAGACCTCTAAGATCACCCAGTCCAACCACCAGCTCATCCCCACCATACTCACTAAGCACGTGCCACATCCACATGGCTTGCAAACACCTCCAGGGAACAGTGACTCCACCACCTCTCTGGGCAACCTGTGCCACTGCAGCACCGCTCTTACTGAGAAGAAACTGTTCCCAGTGGAGCAGTGCTATCTGGAGCTTACAGCAGGATCTTTATTTTGGCCACAAAACTCTTTCCCAGGCGTGTTCCTCCCCTGCCAATTTTAACCACCATGCTTAATTTGAACACAGGCTGTCAGTTGGCTTCCACTGCTCACTGCTATGGTCTTCTTTTATTTAAAGAGTTGTAGGAGAAGTAAGAGCAATAGCAAAGCCACAGTACTCACCAGGAGGCCTTCAATGTAATTCTGGAAGCCCCTTCCAATTCAGCTTTTAAAACCCCAAGTAGGTTGCAACCAATTAAACATATAGAACGTCCTTCTCTTAGAAATGAAGACAAAAAGCTTGCACTGAATCAGGCACCTCGTTTCTGTGCCCTCACACTTGGGAAGCTTTGTTTTCAGAGCTCAAACCATGACTCACCTAATGCATGGCACAAGGAGAACCCTCAGCAGGAACCCTTCCCTTCCCCCAGCAGTTTCCCCTTCAGCCAGGTGAAGGCGTGTCCTGGAGCCACAAATGCCATTAGTTCCACAAGTCAATATTTGCTCTGCATGCATTCAGTCAGAAGAAAACTCCAGCATCACAGATAAGCAGGTGAGTGAGCACAGCACTGCCATACCTCTGAGCACGGGGAAAAGACACAGTAGCTTCTGGTCCTGGTACCCTGACCCCTGTCTTTGGAAGTGTGCAGAATTCCATGCAGCACTGAATGCTTAACCAGGATCCCGTGCAATGTGATATCAGTAAACCTAGATGACCGCAGGAAATACCTTGAAATAGGTTTGTAGACATGAGATGTTTACAAACAATTGGCCTCACACTGCTCTGGCTGCAGGAGGGAGGTGCTGGGGAAGCCTTCCTGCTCTCACCTCTTCTAACCTCAGCTGGTGACTGGGAATGAAAAGCTGAGGAACTTCAGCTGCCCTCATCCCGCTTCCCTGTAAGAATCCTCCATCAGAGGACATGACAGCCTAGAAAGGGTGGAAGGAGCCCGGCAAGCAGTGGCAAGGGCTGACACCCTCTCAGAGCCCAGGAATGATGCAAGATGCTGACGGTGCCGTCACGGACTGCAGCAGTGTCCCTCGGGCTTCAGTGGTCCCAGTCCCAGCAAAACATGAACTGGAAGGAACTCTGTGTCGTGTCTCATGCCAAAAAGCATCCTGCAGACTCCTGGCCAGGCTGGAAAAGCGAGCAGGCACAGAAATGCTGTAAGAGGCACTCCCATGCCTCTGCTTTGCTCTCTGTACTGAGGGGTGCCCAGCAGTCTGCCTGCTGCAAGGACAGCAAGCACTCAATTGGAGCCAAAGGGACAAAGCCTGGCTAGCTGACACAGAGGGACAGAGCACTTCCAGCTGTGTATCCATTTTGAAAATAAGGATGTGAAAAAGCAGGATGCTGTTTCCTACTGGTTCTGCACTGGGCAGGCAGAACCCAGCCTGACTTCCTGCTCACAGTTTGACATGTCAAGCTTGTCTCTACAGAAACTCCCACACAACACCCACTTATGCAGACTTCCTGCCTATGGACAGACGTTTTCCTCGCAGAACAGAACTGCTTTTTATTTTGCTAGCTGGCTCCAAAGCAGACAGCACGTCCTTTATACAGGGCACAGCTTGAAAAGGCTTTAGGGTCTGCCTGCAGCACTTATTTCTCAAATCTGGAGATAACAAAGGCTTCCCCCGTGTGGCTCAGGGAAAAAAAACATCAGAGCAAAACAGAACTCATTTAGGGCTCTGCTGATTCCTTGTCGCTAATACAAGCACCACGCTTTTAAGCCTGGAAAGCAAAAGGTGTCTGGCCTTACACAGCAAAAGCTGGGTGCCTGCTAACACAAACAGCAGCAGAACACCTTGTTTGCTAGATCCTTGGGATCACGAGAGGAGGAGATCTCCCTTTTCCAATATTCCTAAGTGATGACGGGATATGTGATGTGAATATAGAGTGCTGCTCCCACTTCACAGGAGAGGGACAGACAAAGCACTGAGAAAGGAGCAGTGGGATTTGTTTACTCAAATCTACATTGGATGAGGATAAAAGAAAAGGCTGGGATACAAACCAGCAAGGTGTCCACTCTCAGCTCTCTTATTGTACAGCAAAACTCTCCTTGTTACAAACCAAAGAAAGGTAGAAAGACATTACTGACAGTTACTTACAGATGCTATTATTATGTTTTCTATGTGACACTTGGACCCTGATCCAGAGCTGGCCCTGCAAGCTCACCCCACAAAGAAGCTTGATTTTCGAGCTGCTCTCATCCTGCTGCTGCCAGTGACAAAGGAGCAGCCTGAAGAATGGCTCTTCCATGGTACAGATGGATTTGCAGAGCTTTAGTTATCATTCCCTCAGTGAAACACAAGGAAGGCTCAGTTCAGGTCACTCCCCTATAGCTATGTTGTTCATGCACAACTCATGTTAGCAAAAGAGCCTCGGTCTCGCCCAGCAGGACTGTAAGCAGCTCTCACTTCATTTGGCTCCAAAAAATGGCATTTAAAGGACAGTACCTCCCACAGCACATCAGATTACCTTCTTGGGGGCTCTGACTTCACACAACTCAACTTTATGAAACAGTCAGGTAACACCCACAGCACCTTCCAGGACTGTTCACAAAGCTCCTAACACATATCTGGTTTTTGCTCTTGCAAAAATTTATTTGAGCAGACAAGTCAAATTAAAAACAAAAGCAAACAACATGATGATCATTAGTATATGTAATAAAACAAGAAAGAATTAACCGTGTTTCCTGTTGCTGGGAATCAGGAAGAATTCTTCTCCAGAACAAAAGGGCTGTTAGGGTTATGGACATTTTCTCTCATTTCTGAATCATCAGGTATTACCCAGCCAGCAAACACTGCACTGACTGGGCAGTGACAACTGCTCTCATCATATTAATGACAACATGCCAGCTTTCTTTTCTCCTATTTCATGAAGCAAATGGATTTTTTACTACCTGCAGCCTGCAGCAGCACAGTTGACAAGCAAGATGAGACAGGAACACCCCTCCCCCAACCTCCCAAATATTCACCTTGAGTGAGCTCTGTGTGACTCCAGTTTTGACTGTCTGATGAAAGGTGGCAAGGAAAGAAGTTTAAACAAGTTTGTGCACTGCTGAGGGTACAAAGCTGAAATGCTGGGTTAACAGCACAAAATGAAGCCAAACCTAAAACGACATAGCAGAGACACCAATGCTGGGGAATTGTTTCAGTCCTGAGCAGCAGTGCAGCGCTCCCTTCAGCTCACCAGCTGATGCTCGTTGTCACTGAATCACAGAATGGTTTTGGTTCGAAGGGACCTTTAAGATCTTCCAGTTCCAACCCCGTTGCTATAGGCAGGGACACCTTCCTCTAGAGCAGGTTGCTCAAAGCCTCATCAAGGCCAAAGCCTGGCCTTGAATGCTTCATCCCCTCGCCGGTGTGGCCCCTCCTCTCTGCTGCTGCTCACATCTCTCCTCTGTTGAACATCTCCCTGAGCTTACCAACACACACTGTCAAAGCATCCTAAACAGGAACAGAAAAAGGCAGCACCTGGCAATTTAGTCTTTGAAACACAGAATTAACATAAGTTTATATTTACAGGACACGACCAGACCACGCCCTGACATCTATAATTACACGCCATGCCTCTTCTCATGTCCTGCTCCCCTTTTTACTTCATGCATCCTCCAGGAATGCACCCTTCACTTCAGCAGAGGGATAACTGCAGAGATGCTGTGCACATCCAGACAGGCGCAATGAAGCCAATCTTCGTTCCAGTAGCTCTTCTTTCCAGCACACCCCCTCCCACTGGAGCAGCTGAAAAACCATTTCAGAATTCACATTACCCACTGAGCAACCGTATTCCCTTCTGCAAAAGCACAGCAGCGCCTCACTGCTGCCAGCCCCTTTTGGGGGGGTTTTAAGACTCGGTTTCCCATTAGTGAACAGCGGATGCTCTTAATTCCTGCCACACTTTGTTTCTTCCTCTCACACGTTAGGGCTGAAGGACCCTCACGGCACTTTTACTACGTTATTACCACCGCTTGCCCCAAAGCATCACAGCAAGATCGTTTCAGCCCGCGACCGAAGCCTACGCGACCAGAAGGACAGACAGCACCTGCGTACACACAAAGAATCAGGAAGGCAGAGAGGTGGACGCGAAGAAACTTTTCCTTCTCCCTACCTCACCAGCTCTGTACCGCGCACTCCCGCAGCCCACAGCCGCCTCCCGCCGGGGGGCTCCCAGCCCGCAGGACGAAGCAGCGCCGCAGACACGAGGAGCGCCCGCTGCCCGCCGGCTCCCCCGGCGCCTCACGCATCCGAAGCCCGCAGCCCCGGGGTTCTGCCACGTTTCCGTCTCCGTGCCACGCGTGCCGCTCCCCCGGCTGACAGGAGACGGGCAGGCCGCCACCCAGCCAGACGGCGGATGCGGAGGGCGGCGAGGCCGGCGGCCGAGGCACGCGGAGCGGCCGTGTCACGGCACGGGGGAGCCGGGGAGGGGAGCGGGGGAGCGCGGCCGTTACGGAGCGCCGCGACCGCCGCGGAGGGGCGAGGCGCGGCTGACAGCCCCGCGGCTGAGGGGCGGCCCTGCGAGCGGCCCCGGCCCGGCGGCACGATCCGAACCCCGCCGCCGCCCGGCGCTCACCTGCTCCCGTCAGCGCCCTCTCGCCCGCCGCGCCGCGCCGCCCGCCCTCGCGCGGCGGGTCGGGACCCCGAGCGGCGCCGGCAGCCCCACACGCCGCTCCGGAGGGCGCCGCTTCGCGCATGCGCGGCATCCGGGTGGCGGCGCGGGGCGTGCTGGGAGCTGTAGGCGTCGCGGGAAGCGCCTGAGGCGCCTCTGGGCACGGAGGGCGGGGTGCGAAGCGAGCAGAAACGGCTTGGAATGGTTGGGTATGGTCAGCTCAGAACCCAGGGCTCCATCCCACACGGCTCTGAGGGATGGGGAGCCCACGGATCTCTGTGCCTCACCACCCTCAGAGCAAAGTATTTCTCCTTAACATCTAACCTCCATCTCCCCTCTTTTAGTTTAATGCCATTTGCCCCTGCCCTGTCGCTGTCAGACAACATAAAACGTTGGTCCCCCAACTGCCTGTATGCTCCTTCCAAGTGCTGGAAGGCCACAGTGAGGTCTCCCTGCAGCCTTCTCTTCTCCATGCTGAACAAGCCCAGCTCCCTCAGCCTGTCCTCACAGGAGAGATGCTCCAGCCCTCTGAGCATCCCATGGCCCTCTCTGCACTGACTCCAACAGCCCCACATCACTGTGGTGCTGAGCCCCAGGCCCGGATGCAGCCCCATGAGAGCAGACCATCCCCTCCCTGTCCCCGCTGCCATCTCCCTTTACCCACAGCCCAGGATACAGCGTTCAATTGAAGTCAGCCCCTTTCTAAACAGATGGCTAATTAAATGTTAATAGCACAAACAGGCAAAATATTTTAGGCACCATAAAACTTAACCAGTGTTTACGCCTTACTCTAGAGGCAGCTGGATGAGAGGCGGTCGTGGCCTAAAGCTTCCCACTTCTCCAGATACTTAATATAGCCCAGTCTCTTTACAACAATGTTACTGCATTTTGAAATCCTCTTCAAGTAATCATGGCCTAAAGGAGGAGAGCAGGTAGCTGCTTTCAGTTTATTCTGTTTTCTGTAGTTTTCTTCAGCCATAACATTTCAAGAAGAATCTAGTAATATTTAACACAATATCTCTGAGAACCAGGAAAAATAACAAAGGTAAGAAGGAGCCTTTAAGGAAGAAGAGGTAAGGAACTCATTCCAGTTTAAGTCAGAGGGAGATAAGTTTGGTCCAGTACTGAATGCCCAATAAGGCACAGATGCTATAAGCAGAATATTGAAGGTCAGAAATAAGACCAAAGATCTCTTGAATTTCTCTGGCATTCAGTGAATTCCCACATTGTTTTTCTTATCAGACAAGACTTACTTGCAGCAGAGAATGACTTGCATTTGCCAGAGCCTACATACAGTTCACAAGCAAGCACCTACAGCCAAGGACCTGGAAAAGTAAATCACAAAGGCTGGTTCCTAATATACGCTTGTAAACAAGCTTATGAGAAGGTACAATATTAGGACAGTTAGACATCACTGAAAGACCACCACAGTTAGATGCAGCCCAGAAATTCCATGGCTTCTCCCTTTCAAATCATTTTTGCCTGTTTGTTCCCCAAATTACAGTACTCTGAAAGCAAGGACAGTCTCACAGAATTCTTTGAACTACCTGTGGAGAAAGCTTAAGAGAAGATGAATAAGAAGGGAGTGGGCTCAGCTCCCCTTGTCCTTGGATCTGCAGCAAGTCACACATGAACGTCAGGCAGCACCAGACCCTGCTCTTTAAACAGCTGGCAGTGCTCTGAAAGGGGTCATCAAAAGGCACAGTGATAAAGCAGCCTTGTCACCACTGATTGTTTCTCAGTAACTACACAATGGATGGAGTCTTGATTAAAGAGTGAGTAAAGAATTGAAAAGCCCATCTGGAATCAAAGTGGTGTAGGCTCTGAGGGTTAAACATACTGTAGACAACCAAAATAACACGACAGCATAAGCAGACTTGGTTCAATAAGGCTTTTTTTATTTTCCTGTACCCGGAGGCCTTTGCTGAATATGCCTAAAGTGTCAGCTCAATTTTCCCACCCATCTTGCTTTGGTATGGAATCAGTGCTGGTCGAACCTCCTCCTTCAGGAACTTTGCCACCTGTTTAAGAAAAGGGAAAAAGAAAGTAGAAGAAAAATGTTCCTTTCTCTTCCCTATTCAGACCTGCTTGCCCCACTGGGATCTGTTTCACAGAGGCACTAAGCATCAGGCACATCCAGGATCATGAGTGAAGCCCATAGGGCAGAAAGACAAGGCAGTCAAATGAAACAAGGTAAATGTGTGTCTGCCACAGTAGTAGGAACAGAGGTATGAAATATGAGTACACAGGATGCAGGATTAAAAAAAAATAATTGCATAACAACACCTAAAACCTGTAGCCTCTTTACCTGCTGAGGAGCACGTCCAATGAAGGAGGAAGGATCCAAAAGGCTGTCAAGGTGTTCATGGATGGGGCTGAAGTAAGGATCAGCACGGACACGGGCAATGAAGTCATTATCACCCCCTTCCTGTTTCACAACAGCAGCTGCTTGCTGGGAGAGAACACGGATCTTCTCATGGCAATCCTGCAGGAGCAGGGAGATGAGGAGGAAAAAGGAAAACATTCAGTCCCTTGTTACTCACTCTCACATTTATCCTGCTCCCAGCAGGAGGGGAAACATCAAAGCATACTACATTGGACAGCACACAAATGAGACAGCTTAGACTGTAGTATCTCATATCAGTGTAGGAAAACAAGATTTTCCTGATCCTCCTACATCTCCACACTTTGAGGCTAAAGAAGTCCGAATGATATGCATGTTCCCTGTTCAACCACCCCACCAGCTTACGGCAGTAGAACCCTTCACACTTCCTCAGACTCTCCACAGACCCTTAGGATTCACTATGGAATTTGCTTTCCCAGTTGCTCCATTCCCTACTTGCAGTTTTTTCTGAAGACAGACTCTAATAGCTGTTCCCAAAATATTCTATGAACTATAATGGAGGAATTCCTTATTCACAAATAGTCATCCCTGGCATGGAACATCTTGAGAGAATAACAACCTACAAACTTGGAGAAAAAAAAAAAAGAAAAGAAGAAAAGAGAAGCTGTCCAACTTAATCAGCAGTGAACTATGTAAACCATGGCTTACAAAAGGACAAACAGATTGAAGGGAAAAAAGCACACAAATCCGAGGGCCTTAAGACATTCTTTACTAGAGAATCTTCATATGGAATTAAGACTGACAGAAGTCCTACTTGCTTTAAAAGATTTGCTCCACCTTTGACTTCCTGTGAAATCCATCTGTAAAAACAAGGAAACCCAAATGCCATTGAGGACCACCCACAAGATCAGATGCTGTCATGCTGGCACTAAAATATTTATGTGATTGCATTTATAGTCAAGCAGGAATCTTCTCAAATGCATTATCCTTGAGCAATCTTGGTTTAGAAGGAAAATGATGTCCTATTCCTCGTTTCCTCTATTCAAAGGCCATCATGCTCCAGCACTGACATGCTTCAGGCAAACAAAGCTGTTTAGGATGTTTAGGTGGAGGGAGCTGTTCAGTAGTGAGGAAGGCAAGTGAGTTTTTACGCTATGAGGTAGGAAAGCCTCAGATCTGTCTTCAGAAAATTTTGTTGTTACAGTTTTCAGCGCATAAAAACAGAACATATTGTGAAAAAGAACAGCTTTTCTAAGTGTATTCAACTCTAAAGATCTGTTATTAAAGAGCACCAGAAAGAAGGTAAGCCAATAACAAACACAAATGAAATTAGCTTTTCAATCTAATTAAATAGACTGTTTAGGTCTATACAGGATGCTTTAGAAAGAGAACCAGCTGAAAAGATAAGAAAACTTTTACACAGAATATGAACCTTAATATGTTTAATTAGGAAGCTGACTGATGGACACAGTGACAAACATCACAGACACAAAGACAGGAAAAAGGATGTTTCATAACTGGGTGAGCTGCCAGAAGTGCTCCAGAGAGTCACAACCACTGATTCTACTCAAAGGCTCTAGGAAACCTTTCTGTTTTTACTATATTGCAAGTTTCATTTCATCTTTTATGGGAAACAATTACTAAAGGAAATGTTACAGTCTAAAGGTGAGAGAAAATAAGCTAGTTTTGTAGGATGTAAATTTTATTACCAGTTTCAAACCGAACTTTGAAATTAAATGATAAGGAACTATAATCTAACTGTGTCTGAACCTATTTGCTAAGAAAAACATTTCTTATTTCTGATTTCAATTTGCTTGGACATAGAAAACTGAATGAAGGACCATAAACAATAAAAGCAATAAAAGGCAATATACTGAACTAAGGAAGTGTGATACAAGAACAAATGGTTTGGGCTTACTTGCACTGATTCATTCCTTTAATTTATAAAGGTACCCCACTGCCAACATGCTCCATTTGAAGAAGCCTGGCCTGTGTTCCAAGTTCCCTCAAACATTTACAGAAGGAAAGTGCCTGCTAGTATCTCACGTAATAAAAATAAATAGGTCTCTCTGCCCTCCAGCACAGACAGCCAGATTAGCTCAAACACACAGCGTTCCTAACAGTAAATAAGGATCTCTACAACTGCTCTCTCCTCAGAGAACAGAGTCTGGCTTTGCAGCACAGGTGTAATATTAATAACTCTGCGGGAGTAAGGGGAGAACAGAGAAAGGGAAGATGTTCAGGAAGACAAAAAAAGAGCAGCTCCTGTTTGTTAAGAGTGAGACATCTGGCAGTGAACAAAGGTATTTTGGAATTCATCTGTACCTGACGATTGCCCCCTGCTTTCACCATCGCCATGATGATATTCTCTGTGGCCATGAATGGCAGCTCCTGCCGGATCCTCCTGTCAATCACCTTCAAACAAAGACAGCACAGTTACAGG